CCACGCACAAGCTGGTCGTATACGATCTAAAGGGTGCCTGGACCAAAAGCAATCGGGATGTTGCGTTCGCTCTGTTCGACTCCTTCATGAAGTCACAAAAGCTGAAAAACAATCTGTCCACAGAGGCGGTCAAGAGCTACCGCAAGGAGGCGGCCAACTCGGCCATGCTGAAGCACAAGCGCAGCGATAGCACCATAACGCTGTCCAGCACCAGCAGCGAGGTGCTCCCAAGTAAGTGCCCCCGAGTATTCTCACTGAAATCTTCGAAATCATACTTCTTTTTTTGTTGTAGTTGCCAATGCGAATGCCGCGCTGAAGAAGGCGCCGGGCCAGATCCATGCCACGGCCATGCTGCAACAGCTCATCGCGGAGGCGGATCACAAGTTCAATGTGTACAGCGATGATCACAGCACACAGTCCAGGGAATTGCAGCTGCAGGGACTGCAGGCTTGCTCCGTGCAGGATATTATCCATGAGAATTGGTCCATCAGTCTGGTCAACTCTCAGGTGCTCCTGAAGGGCTGTGAAACGTCCGGCTATGTAATTATCAGTGCCGCCAAGGCGGAGATATTGCAACGAGAGCATCGGCCCGTCTGGCGGGATCGTTCGCTCATCTCGAAGACAACCTGGAAGGGTTTGCTAGAGTGCATGCAGTACTATGCGACCGTCAGTGCCGGCGACAACGATTCGCTGCTGGAAAAGGAGATCATGTGGCTAACGGTGGACAATATACAGGACAAAGATGAGACGGTGATCAATAATCACCTGCCCGAGGATATATCGCATCTGGTGGGCAGCGGACGTAGTGTGGGCGGCGTTGTTTCCGAAACTGTGGGCGCCTTCCTCAGCGACAACTCTGGCCAGGCACAGCCGGTGCAGCTGCAGCGCATCGTGTCGAAATGTAAATGCGAATTCTTCTACGTAAGCTATGGCGATGCCATTGATCCGAATAGCATCACAGAGGTGCCGCCGCCACCATCCGAGGAATCATTGTCGCCTTGGGAGAAGCAGGATGATCCCGTGGATGCCTTCACGCTGATGCATCATGATCTCGATGTGTGCACCAATTCGCTACAGTACGCCATGATCCTGGACATTGTCAACAATCTGCTGCTGTACGTGGAGCCGCAGCGCAAGCAGGCGGCCGAGAAATTAGCACGAATGCGTTTCCAACTGCAGTTGCACTCCACGGAGGATCAGAAGCGGCCCATCCAACAAAAGCAGACGGTCATACGCAGCCTGCTGATGAAGATACGCTCACTGGAGAAGGACATACATCTGATCAGCAAGGAACGAATCGAAGAGGGCGACACCCTCGAGCTGCGCGACGACTTCGATCGTGTGCAGCAGCAGATACGCGAGAGCAAGGAGGAGCTGAACACATACAGCGAGGAGCTGGACATGATGCTGCTGTGCTACAAGGAAACCCAGCTATCCCAGCTCAGCAAGATCTCCAATGTGCGCTCGGACAAGTCGGTGACGATGGTGCGAGCCAATGAGATCTGCTTTAAGCGCGCCCAGTGGCGACTCACAGAGACCGATGGCCAGATTGGTATTGCGGATTTGGTGCTGAGCGCCTTTCTCTATACGAAAAAGTCCAAGAGTGATGATTCCGTGGAGCATCTGCTGGAGCTGGGCAACATACGCATGGAGAATCTGCTGCCACGCGAAATCTATCGAGATGTGCTGCTGGCCACGGAGATACAGAAGGATATGCCCGTGGACACGCACAAGCGTGTGCTGCGCATCTTTTGCCGCGAGAAGCCGCCTGTTGGCGGTATTTCAGTTAAAGATCACTTCGAGATTAATGTGGCACCGATAACCATAGCAATTACCAAGAAGTTCTATAGCACCATGTTGAAGTTTTGCTTTCCGGATCGCGATGCATCCGAAACTGAAGTCAGCGATGAGCTGGATGACAATGCATCGACCAGTTCGGCTTCCACAACGAATTTACAAGCCAAATCAGCATCATCCTCGAGGCGCGCGGCCAAGAGCAAGAAGAGCGCCAAGGATTCCGAGTTCTATGTGAAAATCGAGAAGGATGACGTGGAAAAGATGAAGGAGCGCGCCGAGAAAAACAAACTGTTCATCTATATTAAAATTCCCGAGGTGCCGGTGCGTGTTAGCTACAAGGGCAACAAGGAGAAGAATCTGGAGGACATAACAGACTACTCACTAGTCATACCCACGCTGGAATATCACAATGTCACATGGACCTGGCTGGATCTGCTGCTGGCCATGAAATCGGTGAGCAGGCGCGTCATTGTCTCGCAGGCCATCAAACAGAAGCTGCAAATCCATCGGCGTCAGCCGGTGCTGTCGGCTGGTGAGCGTGCCACGCCCCAGGAGGAGGATAAGGCTAAAATGCTCTTTGGCAATCGTTTGCTGGTGAGTAAGATTCCAACCGAGCCGATATTGCAATTTTATATTATTCTTCTCTTCCGCAGAGCGAAAATCGCAATCAAAGAAAAGGTGGCGGCGTTTTCAAGTTTCCATCGGGCGGCAAGAGATCGGATTAATCATATTTATTTAATATACTATATACATATATCCAGTTATATGCATATCTACTTCGACTCGCAGCGGGCCAGGCCAATTGTCAGACGAATATTGAGGCCCTTTTAATTTATACACACACTACAATACAATCACAACACAAACACACACACACACACTAAAGTATTAACCAAATCTATAAATATAACAATATATTTATTTATGCATGTGTCTGTCTGTCTGTCTGTTTAACTATATAATTAATCTTGTTGCAAACTGCTTTTGTTTCACTTTAGCAAATAAAGAGAGAGAGAAAGAAAAAGTTAATATAGTTAGTTGAATTTTTACATACCACAATGATATATTAAGACTTTAAAACACTTAGATTAACTAAATATGCACACGCCTTAACTAAGGGATAACATTTACTTGGTCAGCTGCTTCAACGGTGGCTGCAATAAAATGCAAAAAACAATTTGGTTTAGTTAAGGATTCAAAAAGGACTGGCCGAGGGGCAGCACTCACCAGCACAAAGACGCGCTTGGGCAGAGCTCGCTGCACGAGCTCGTCGAGCAACGCATTCTGGCTATCATGCTTTTGCGGATCGGCCTTTGTATTGTACTCCAGGGTCAGCACAGGCAGCTCCTGCCAGGCCACCTGCAGCGGATACAAATTGTAGACCAGCTCCTTCTCGTCATACGCCATTATCGATACATCCAGCTGCGGCAAAAGCAATCCACGACATTAAATAAATATTAACCAAGTGAACTAATCTGCCAACGCACCTGCTTATGGCCGGAGCATATAAAGTTATCCGATTTGCTGATGGAGAGCGTGGCTATCAGATGCAGCACATGCATTGTGGGATTCTTTAGTACCACCTTGAATGCCATGGGCATTTTGACGAACATCTTCTCCTCGATGGTGCAGTATATGTTGAGCGGCGGCTCCGCTATATCAAGGCCACTTATAATAAACTTGGATTCATTTTCCTCCTTTGCGCCAGCTCGTCGCCAGCGTATGCAAAAGACGCCAAATCGGGGCGTTGTGGCTGAACCTGCTGCAGAGTCCAGCGTGTACACGCCTTTGATGAAGCCGCGACAATGACCCGTAGCCTGGACTGCCTCCAGCGCTTTGTTGTAGATGACGCGCATGCTCTTGGGCGCATCCTGGCCCTTGACTGGCAACGCAGTGCCGGCATCCTCGGCGCCTGTGAGGCTCAGTTTGCCATCATCGGAATGGATCGAGTTGGTCATGATGCCCGCATTGGACAGCTGCAGTGCGCTGCTCATGCCCGGACTATTATTGATGATGGTCATTGTTGTGGGTATCTTGGCCAGCAGGCTCTTGCTCATATAAGGATTCAGTGCAGCATTTGGTGCCTGAGACGGCGCATCGCGGACTTGGCCTGTTGCAATCTGTGGCTTTTGCTGGCGACTGACGAACTTATTGGGCACACTCTCCTCGGACTTGGAGCGCTCCAGGTCGCGTGCAGTCGTCCAGTCCTGCAGTGTGGCATTTGTCCGTAGCACAATGACGCTCTCCAGCTGGTCGCCTGCTCTGTACTTGTTGGTGTACTTCTTTCGCTTAAAACTGTAATTCGATTGCACTAAATTGTGATCCTGTCGAGAAATGCAGTCTATTACAATTGAACTCGATCTGAGAGACGCCCACTTACACATATAAAGAAGCTGTCCAGTATCTCTACCTCATCCACGGCCAGCACCTCCGTGTTGGCGCGCAGCAGAAAGTTCTCACCGCGATAGACCTGGCTCAGTGGCCGCCGGTTGAGCGTATAGAAGCGCGCGCTGAACTTAAAGTCGCCGGCACATCGCACGGTCAGGATATCCTCGCGTGACTTGCGCAGCCGCGTCTCGTCCAGATACTCAATCTGAACCGGCGATATGACCGCCAGGCTGTTGCTGACCAGCTTCACGTGCTCGGGCGTCGTATCTGTGCTGGTGGGCGTGGTGCTGTGGCTGGCTGTGGCAGCTCCAGCGCCGCCTGCGCTGCGATCCACATCCAACGTGTAGCTGAGTCTTTGCTGCAGTTTGATCTCTGCCTCCACCAGGCTAAAGATGTAGAAGGTGGCAGTGTTGCTGCCATGTCCGGACAGCTCACCCACATCAATCTGGATCTGAGCGTGCAGCTTTTGGCGGCCAGGCGAAACGTCTGTGGTGAGGAAAACTGCAGGCAACAAACCAAAATTTGTAGGCAATACTTGAATTTATGAAAATCGCATAGAAAGGCAGGATGAGAGTGAATGCGGCAGGAAGATAATCAATAACAGAATAATAAAGATGAGAGATCTCGATAGGGAAAGAGGTAGAACAACGATCCAGTTTAAAGTTATACTAAAAATAAACTTTGTTCTGTAAAATATGTGAATGTGAAAATCGCATAGAAAGGCCATATTAAGAAAGCGTCTTCCAAACTCCGTTCTCAATAGAAAATAGGGCGTATTTGACTTGAGTTATTTCCGTATTGTGGGTCCTAATGTCCGAACGTGTAATAAATATATATACTTTTGATTATCAGTGTCAGAAAATCATATGTTTCATAGATCAATCCAAAATTATTGTGGGCACATCCAGCCTCCATCCACACAAATTAAAAATTCCTATCTTTCCTACTTAAATTCCGTTGCTATTACGATACGAACAGGGTATTGCACAGTTGGTTGCACCCGACTGAAACTTTCTTACAAGCTTGTCAACAGTCAAAATTCGAATAAGAGCTGAATTAGTTTTCATTGCGTTCTGTTTGGATGTTCTTCTTATTGGATGTTCTTCTTATTGGATGTCATATATTAGAGTCCACAACGCGATCTCATTTTTCATAGAGTCCACATTTTGGTACAAAGAGTAAATAGCAGAGAGCGTAATGTCTGCAAACAGTCTGGAAAGACGATGTGTAGATTGTGTAGCTGGGCAAGTTCAATGATGTGTGTAAACAGCTGGGCACAGGTGTTCTACGTGCTGCTGTAATATGCCAGCGCAGTTGTTGGGTAAGGTAAGTAACGCGGTCTGGCGATCTACCCGGCGGCCTTTCATAGTAAATGTGGTTTTTACCCCTCAAAATCGACCCATATAAATAGCTTAAGTTGCGTCGCGTGCGACAGTTGATTCATAGCCTTCATTACAGCCACACGACAAGCTGGAGATGCGAATAGGTTTACTGCTCCTCCTCCTCCTGCTGCTGGGCAACTGTGCGGCTGGAGGCCTAGATAAAGTGGGTCGGGGGCGTGTGCCACGTGTGGTGGGTGGCCAGCGCATCGAGGTGAACACGCAGCCGCATATGGTGAATATCAGGCGACGCGGTGACTTTCAATGCGGCGGGTCGCTGGTGAGTCCACGTTGCGTGCTCACCGCGGCCCACTGTCTGCAGGCACCGGAGCACCAGGCCGCGGATTATGTGGTGCGCGGTGGGGTGACCTATTTGAGGGATATGCGGAATGCGCGCTATGTGAACCGGATACTCCTACCGATTGGCTATAATCGGAGCACGCTGGATCAGGACGTGGCGTTGCTGCAGCTGCAGAATCCGCTGCAGGGAGCGCACATAGAGCCCATACGTCTGGCCAGGCAACCGCCGCGACCCGGCAGCTATGTGCGCGTCTCCGGCTGGGGTCTGACCGATGAGCGCTCCCGCCAGCTGCCCAATCAGCTGCACAGCGTCCAGGTGAAAGTGCTGTCGCGCCCCAAGTGCCAGCAGCTATATCTGGGCTACAGGAATCTGACAGAGAGCATGTACTGCGCCTCGGTGGCGGGCCACAAGGATGCCTGCGACGCTGACTCCGGCGGACCGGCGGTCAATGCCGAAGGCCAGCTGGTGGGCATTGTCTCCTGGGGCCGGGCGGATCGCTGCGCACGCGAGGACAGCCCGGGCGTGTATACGAGCGTGCCGCATCTCTACGACTGGATAGCCCACAATATGCGCATATATTGCCACTGAGCTGCGTCTGTCTGCGTCTCCACTTAGGATTAGTTAGGCCGTTGAGTATTAAAGTGAAAACTGTGCCCTGATTGTGTTCTTGTTTGATCTGCCATTGGAATCCGCGCGTCACCACAAGGCCCACATGGCCCATTCAACCCAATCAACCCATTCACACAGAAGCCGAGCTCTTTTTTTAGCAATAGCTATTTGCACAGTTGTACGGATTTGTCGGGTTTTGTTGTTATTTTGGCAAATGCTCGGGCATAAAAGCCGCACCAAGGTTAATTCGCACACATTCCAAATTCGAAATGCGTTTGCGTTGGGTCTACCTGGTCTTTCTGGTGCTGCTGCTGGATCAACTGGCTGCGGCAGCGCGCCGTAACCGAGCTGGCAATAGGATAAGCAGGCGGACTACAGCTGCTGCCCGCGCCAGGAGCCAAGTCCAGCCACGAATCGTTTCCGGCAGCACGAGGCGCACGACGGCGGCCAGCTCCCGGCCACGGTCGCGCATCGTGAACAGCAGCAGCTCGAAGCGAGCCAAGAGGAGAGCAAACCGGCAGAGATCATTGAATAACCGCACAACTAATCGCAGGAATAAAACATCCGCTCGCATCGTCGGCGGCGTTCAGGCACGCATCGTGGGCGGCTCCACGACTTCCATTAGCACCATGCCATATCTGGTGCAGGTGCTTCGTGGCGGCGCGCTGTGCGGCGGCTCGCTAATTAGGGATCAATGGGTCCTGACTGCCGCCCACTGCGTCTCCGGCCACGCCGCCTCCTCCTTCACTGTGATCGGCGGCACGACCAAGCAGAACGGCACGGACGGCGTCGAGCGCTCTGTTACCTATACCGCCGTGGCGCCCAAGTTCACCAGCAAATCCATGAACATGGATGCGGCGCTCCTGAAGCTGAATGCGACCATGACGGGCACAAACATTGGAACGATTGCCTTGGGCCAGCGTATGCCCAGGCCGGGCACTCGGGTGCGCATTGGCGGCTGGGGCGTCACCAAAGAGGGCGGCGATTCGGTCACAAATCTAAGATCTGTGCAGCTCAAAGTCGTCAAGCAGAAGGTGTGCCAAAATGCCTACCAAGGATCGGCCACAATTACCAACTACATGTTCTGTGCCCAGGCCAAGAATAAGGATTCCTGCAGCGGCGACTCGGGCGGCGGCGCCGTCCAAAACAATCGACTGATGGGAATTGTGTCCTTCGGCATGGGCTGCGCCAGAGCTGGCTACCCTGGTGTCTACACCAGAGTCGGCAGGATCCGAAGATGGATAAACAATACGATTGCAAACAATTGATGTTAATATATTAAATAAAGATTTGTTAATATTATCGTTCACATTGTCCCTTGCTGAGAAAAACTGATGAGAGTGGAGCCCGAGCAGGGATTCGAATGCTTCGAAGTATTTAATCATAATCTCTATATAGAAAGCTGTTTGTACTGATTGCAGTCAACTGACTGACTGACTGACAGATTGACTGCCTGACTGACAGACTGACTGACTGACTGACTGACTGACTGACTGATTGGTGATCAACCCACTTTTTTGTTTCTCCAACTTTCGGCACATGTACATACACACATATGTAAATACATACATATGTATGTACATACATAAATACATATGTATGTACATTCATATGTACATACATACACATATGTACATACATGCATACATATGTACATACATACATAAATGTACATACAAACATATGTACATACATGCATACATATGTACATATGTACATACATGTGCATACATACATACATACATACATACATACATACATACATACATACATACATACATACATACATACATACATACATACATACATATGTACATACATATGTACATACATACATATGTACATACATACATATGTACATACATACAAATGTACATACATACAAATGTACATACATACATACACACATATGTACATACATACATACATACATACATACACATATACATACATACATACACATATACATACATACATACATACATAGGTACATACATACAAATGTACATACATACAAATGTACATACATACAAATGTACATACATAAATATGTACAAACAAACAAAACAAAAAAAAAAAAAGCCAAAAAAAAAGCACTGCACCACTAGCTAAGTATGAAAAACTGCAGAGCCTACTTGAATTCTTGAGAATCGAGGAGAAGAGCACTTGGTAGAAATTCGTTTTATTTAAATTTGCAGCACAGCGACAAATAAGCTTGGTCTGCGTTTGGTATTAGAGACGAAGCATGCATGCATACATACCCTAACACACACACACATGCATACATACATACCCTAACACACACACATACATACATACATACATACATACACTCACACACACAAACACCCAGCCGTGTGGGAAATGGCCAATAGAATACTTCCCCAGCTAGTATATTATTATTAAAAAAAGGTATTTTCCTACAAAAACCTAATACTTTTCAAGGGAATAACAACTGATGAGCAGGGACTTGTTCTATATAACTAAAAAATTTCGATTCTACAAGTCCTCGCGAGGGGGTCTTTCCAATTGATATGAAATTATTGCTATAAATAAAAACGAGACATTAAGGATATCTTCGGTACGCCGAAGATTTAATACCCTTGCAGGCATTACGTGCCTGACGATTTAGCAGATATGTGAGAACAGAGAAGTTCGTTAATGCTGAGTTTGATGAAAATATCTTACCCCCCAATATGTCAGCTATATGATATAATAGTCCGATCCGGCTGGTTTCTACATAGGTAATTCCCCAGAGTAAGATGGGCTTATGCAAGCTTTAAAACTGAGAGATAGTCCTCATAAAAACAGACGGACGGACTCGGCTGGAATATATACATTTTGTTGGGTTGTAGCTGTCTCCTTCTCTGCGTTACCCGTTTCATAAGAAAATTATAATACCCTCCACAATATTATGGTATATAATACCCTATACAAATTATAAGAGATGTACTTCTACTTCGCACAATTGGTTGGCTCTTCTATTGGATATGCTCTTAAGTAATCAACTCGATGAGCAACAAATAAAGTTAATTATAGTTGTTTTTTTTTAAGTCAACAACAAAACCCGCCCAAATTATTGGTAAAAACAATTGTGCAAATGTTGATCGACTAGAATATCAGCTCAGATTTGTTGATATCGCCAGCCAAGGTATAAAAGCACTTGGCGCAATACCCCAAATTGTATTAGTTCTTCCTGATTGAGAACATGCTCCGATCACAGCTCTTGGCACTGCTCTTGGCCAGTGTTCTGTCGGTTGAAGGAGTCCAGCAGCTGATAGAGCCTCGCATTGTTGGTGGCTATGTGGCGAACATCAGCGATCTGAAGTATCTGGTGCAGGTGGCCACGGCGGATGAAATCTGTGGAGGTTCCTTGATTACGACACGCTGGGTCATCACGGCTGCCCACTGCGTCCAGCGGGTGAGCCTGGCGAATTTGCATGTCTATGGTGGCACGTCCGAGCAAGGTGCTCAAAATGCCATACACCGTTTGGTCGACCTGGTTGCCATTCCACCGGATTTTAGCATGAAAACGATGAACATGGATGTGGCGGCATTGTACCTCAATCAGGACATGGTCGGCACAAATGTGCAGACAATTGGACTGGCCAGCCAGCCGGTGCCGCCGGGCAGTCGGGTCAAAGTGTCCGGCTGGGGCGCCGTGAATCCCGGCTCCTCGGAAACGGCACGTCACGTGCACAGCGCCATAATGCCCGTGTGGTCGCAGGCTGCCTGCCGTGCGGCTTACCGTGGCATGCAGCACATCAGCCGCACCATGATCTGCGCGGCGAAACCGTATAGACGGGACTCCTGCGACGGCGACTCCGGCGGTCCGATGGTCTTCCGCGGCGAGCTGGTGGGCATTGTCTCCTTTGGCTACGAATGCGCCGGCCGCTTGCCCGGCGTCTACACCAGCGTGCCAGTGATAAGAAGATGGTTTATGGACGTCATGGCAGAGTATTCCTAAGTAGTTGTAGCCGTAGTTGGTAGATCCAATAAACTAGTTGAAGATTACGCTTATCAGCAGTCAATTAGCCGAAGAATGTTGCGGTCCGTCGCCTATATAAGAGCTCGTTCCTGGCGCCGATCGGAAAAGTGCTTCCGCAAAATGTGGCTCAAGCTTTCAATCTGGCTGGCAGCTCTGATCCAATTGCTGGCTGGCGCACCTGGCGAATTGTTGGGCAAAATCTTTAGAGGCCAGACGGCGTCCATTGCTGACTACCCGTTTTTGGTGAATCTACGACGTGGCAATCAGTTTAAATGCGGCGGCGCATTGATCTCGCCCAGATGTGTGCTGACAGCCGCCCATTGCCTGGAAAGGCGTCATCAGCAGGTGCAGGATTTGTTTGTGCACGCCCAGCAACAGTGCCTGGCCGATCCGACGCCAGAGGCGCATGTGCGCCAGGCCTGGTTCGGCTGGGTGCCGCCCAAATACCAGCCAGGACGTGGCCTGGACTCGGATCTGGCGGTAATCCTGCTGCGTCAACCCTTCGACCTATCGGGCAATGCCAGCTCCGTTCCCGTCGACTTCAACGAGCTGCCCGAAGGTGCCAATCTGACGGTCATTGGCTGGGGCATGACCAGCAGCGAGGGTCATGCTTGGAACCAATGCCTGCAGGCGACCAATGTCAGTCTGGTGCCACGCTGTGATTGCAACCAGCAAATGGGCTTGTTTCAGCCCATAACGAACAACATGTTCTGTGCCTTGGGCGCAAATGCCACCGATGCCTGTTCTGGCGATTCCGGTGGTCCCCTTCTGTACGCGGGTCGTTCTGCGGGCATCGTATCCTGGGGCTACGGCTGTGGCACCGGCTTACCTGGCGTCAATACTCGCCTGAGCAGCTCGACGATGACGTGGTTCCTGAAGAGCTTCATGGAGCAGCACTGCTAATTGATTAGGATGAGTCCATTTAGTGAATTCTACTTGAAGTTCCTTTTAATCGGTTCATATTAAAGTTTGCTTTCGCTTCAAATCGTTATACAATTTCCATTTCTGTTCTTGTTTTCAATTAGTCCATTTCTCTTTTAATTTACTGGCGTTCAATTTTAACGTTCAATCTGCACTTTCAACTCCAATTCAATTTCATTAAATTTCTAATTCTAATTGCATTCATATTTCGGTTTCAAATCGTTTTGGAATTTCCATTTTTCATCTTGTTTTCAATTATTCCATTTCTTTTTCAACTTTCTAGCGGTCAATTTCGATGTTCAATCTTTACTTTCAACTGCAATTAAAATTCTTTCAATTACAATTCCAATTGCATTCGCATTAAAGTTTGCTTTCGATTCAAATCCTTATAAAATGTCCATTTCTGTTCTTGTTTTCAATTAATCCTTTTCTCTTTCAATTTTCTAGCGGTCAATTTCAACTGCAATTCAATTACTTTCAATTTCAATTCTAATTGCATTATCGTGAAGAGCACACAATAATATCATGTTGTCGAGGCGAGATCCATTGAAATAGTTAGTTACATATAATTATAGATAGTTATGGATTTAAGCGTTCAATAAATTGCTCCACAATTCACGTTTCCCACTTTCAATAGCGTCAGTTTGAACACGCCATGATCTGGTTAGGGTTGTGTGGGCTGATTGGAATGCTCCGTGCTGGCGACGGACAACGGATTATAGGAGGCCAGGAGACGAGTATCAGCGAGGTGCCCTATTTGGTGTATCTCCGTCAAGGCGGCGGCTTTATCTGCGGCGGTTCTCTGCTCACGACCAGCTCTGTGCTAACTGCTGCCCATTGTGTCTACGGCGCCAAGGAGCAGGAGTACACTGTCCATGCGGGCGCCAGTCGGCTAGGGCAAACGGCGCCCGTGGTGCGAGGTGTTGCCCGCTTTCACATTGCTCCGAACTACGCGGCCAGCAACTTTGACATGGACGTGGCCATACTGCAGCTGGTGTCGCCTGTGCCGCTGACAGCTGGTGAAGTGGCCACAATTGCGCCCTGCCGCTCGCAACCGGCTCCCAATACATATGTCCGGATCAGCGGTTGGGGCGTGCAGCAGGAGAGTAGTCGGAAGCCAGCGGCTCAGGTGCGCACAGCTGTGGTCCGCGTGCTGCCCGGCTTGGAGTGCCAGCTAGCCTACGCTGGCCAGGCGCAGCTCAGCGATTCCATGCTCTGCGCTGCAGTGCGCGGCATAAAGGACTCCTGCTCCGGAGATTCTGGTGGACCGTTGGTCTATCGTGGCGAGGTCTGCGGCATTGTCTCCTGGGGATTCGGCTGTGCGCGCGCTGCCTATCCGGGCGTTTACACCAATGTGGCCAGCGCGCGTGTGAAGCGTTTCATAGAGAAAACGCTGGCAAAACTTTCGAGTTTGAACTAGTTCCGCAAGCTGCGTACTAGTTCATTTCGATAATTGTGAACCATAAATGAATGCAACATTCACAATTATCATTGTGCAAGTTATTTAAAAGTTGTTACGAGCTGCACTTAATAACTTAATTGGAAATATATGTCAACAATGATAAGCGATTTACTATTTTTTTAATACTTGTTATAATGCTCATTGAAGAGTGAAAACAATAAAATATCATGAATTTAACGACTGGTTAACTTTCTGTACTTTAGGAGGGGAGATTTTCTGACTTGATTATCTACATTTTAAATCATTGAGTAATAAATATTATATGTATAAATATTATTGGTCAATGATATTAAATAAGGCTTCAAGCTAGATTCGCAATCGGAGTCCCAATTTGGATTGTAAAATGAACTGAACCTTAAGCCAAACCAGAATCGGAAAAACAACCGAATCGAACCATATTCTATTCAAAATTGATTTGAGCCAACAAATAAATTACCCAAAGCATTAATGAATTGGGCCCCAAGCATTGGATTTATCTAACCATAATTGGTAGATTCCAATATTGGGAAGATTTCTGATTTAGTCCGCATGTTCTATATGAAAATATCTACGGCTGACAATGTTTTCAGTAGAACGGACAATTAATTAAAATTTTTAAAAAATTGATGAGCACTTGTGTACCAAATTTTGAGAATATGGATATGAGAGGAAGCTGGCTCGATCCGTAATCCGAACTATCGACCTTTTTTGTGAGCTGACGCGGAGTAATAATATATAAGAAGTTTATGGTAGTATAGTATTTAAAAAACAATTATTTTAAAAAGCTTGAACTGCGGCTAAGACATTTGTACTCTCGCCTAGAATCCGAACCAGCACTCTTCTAATTCAGTTGTTTGAGTGGGACAACTTATCCAGCGGGGAATAAAAGTTAATATGTCATCAAGGTCAAAAACGTTTATCTGAGTCGTGTTTTAATGGCTCTGTTCGAGTTTCGATGGGCCGCACATGATAGAACAACAAAATGGTTTATTAAAAATAATTATTATTTGCACAATAAAACAATGTTACAATTATATTTCCTCAAAAGGGGGCCGCATATAAAGCCGTGCAAACAAACGCGCGAGCCGACTCGGAACTGGAAAAGCTTTGTGGTTCAGTTCAGCTCGGCTCAGTTTGCGACTCTTTAAATATTGTTTGCACAAGTGATCTGCTAGGAAACGCGCCAGGCAGCGGCTAAAGCAAATATTTGACGCAATGCGCGGCTGTTTTTGCTAACAAACCAATGCGAACGGGGTTGCGGCTGCTGCTGCCGCTGCTGCCCATGCTCCTGCTCCGGATAGCCATTGGCAAGGCCGTCAACGAGGCAGGTGCGCGCATTCTTGGAGGTGCGCCGGTGGATATCAGCAGTGTGCCCTACTTAGTTAATTTGCGCGTCGCTGGCAATTTCATTTGTGGCGGCACACTGGTCACGCCCACTCATGTGGTGACGGCAGCACATTGTGTGAAGGGCGTGCCGGCCAGCCGACTGCAGGTGGTGGGCGGTGCCACAATGTTAACGGATGCAACAGGTGTGCGACGCAGCGTGGAAAAGGTGTTCACGCCCAAAGCGTTTAATACACGCACCCTGCACTCGGATGTCGCGGTACTGAAGCTGAAGTCGCCGCTGCAAGGTGCAAACGTTGCGACCATTGAGCTATGCAACTCCAGCTTTCAGGCTGGCGATCTGATCAAGGTCTCCGGCTGGGGCAAGACCACAGAGAACAGTAAACGCGTCTCGCAGCATGTACGCAGCGTCGATGTGGCGCTGGTCACACGGAGAAGCTGCATCAATCAGTACAAGTTGCGCGGCGCCATTAGCGACACCATGTTCTGTGCCTCGGTGCCGGGCGTAAAGGATGCCTGCGAAGGCGACTCCGGCGGCCCGGCCGTCTATCAAAATCAACTATGCGGCATTGTCTCTTGGGGCTTGGGCTGTGGCAGACGCAATTATCCCGGTGTTTACACAAGTGTCAAGACTGTTAGGAGCTTTATCGATAAGGCTTTAGGCATGTAGCCAAAAAGTGAACAATCAACGTGGACGATATCAGAAATAAATACGGAACTATGGAAGGTGTTTACATTTGTAACCGAATTATTGTAAATGTTCTTCTCAATGTCAAACAGATTAAATATCATTGCAAAGTTTTCATACTAATATCAGCTGATTGTTCATATAGAAACCATATGATATCTATTTAAAGCCTTATCAAAATAGTTTCAAAACGGAAACAGAAAAAGGGAAAAAGTCCTAGATAGCAAAACCCGCGACGATAGTATAATGAACAGAATTGGAAGAGTTTCAAAGGATAGAATCGATTGCGGCCATTAGATGGGTATCATAACCCAGTATATACGTCAGCTCCGATCTTATATGTAGCTCCAAATTGGATCAACATAATTAAATTACGTTTAATATGTATCCCACTTACCGCTATTACGCAGCTCCAACGGAACGCTGATGTGCACGCCCACATTCTGTAGATAGACATTATACGGATTGCTAATGTTGGTCACCACTGGATAGTACTCATTGACCAGCATTGTTGTTGTTGCTGTTGTCGCTGCGGCACCTGTCGGGCCATCGCCCATCACATGGCCAAGGTTCGTTTGAGTGCTCAAATGGAAGCTGCAATGAAAGTTCAACGGAGCGTTAAATGAAGGCATGCAATGGGTGGGCGAAACGTTTATAGCTTCCGGTACGAAGCGTTTTAACCTACGTGGGCGCAATATAGCAAATGGGATTTATTGTCACATTATCATCCAGATCGCGACTGCGCGTGTGATGCCGGAATGGCTGGCGTGCATAGTTGGCGCTGCATGTTAGCAATGCGCCAATTTGATCGGTGCCCATGAGCGCCTCCAGGCGCACTATGCGCAGCTGTGTGTTCTCATTGAACTGATGCGCCTCCGTGCTGCACATGAGCTGGTAGTAACAGCCGGGCTCTAATCGCTTGTTCTTTTCATAGGTTTTTGGTTCCAAGTGCTCCTTTTCTAGAGACTGCTGCTGCTGGGCACGCAGCTGCAGCAGACTGGGAAAGCATAAATATTTGAGCGCCTCCAGCTTGTAGCTATTTTGCGGATTACTGACATCGGCGAGCAGCACCTGGAAGCTGCGTATGCGCAGCGGCACATCAGTCAAAACGCTGCGCGAAGTAAAAAATACAATTAGCATAAACTAAATATGTGCATAGGCAGGCTTTCCAACTTACCGCACTATCAAATGCAGCTGTAGCACATCGTTGTTGTTAAGTTGAACTTGTTGGAATGTAGCGCACAGCTCCAGCACATCGCTAACCTTATCTAAATCTATTTGTATGGGCGATTTTACGCTGGCCAGCGCGTTGCTCCACAGCTCTTGAATCTCGGGTGTCAATTGAGTTTGTGGCATAGGTGGCACGCTCTGAAAGACTTGCCACAAGTTCTCCAGCAGCAGCACGCGCTCCTTTTGCTCGCCATGATGACGCAGCGACAGCGCCTCAATGCTGCATGCAATGTAATCGGCTACAGAACCGGAGAGCAGCGCGCAGCGTAGCGTCTTTAGCAGCACATCACTAAAAATGGTCGACCATTTCTCCTGGCGGTAGTCGGGTAGCATTAAGGAGTACAAACTGAAAGGCCGAAGACTCAGCTGGATTATGATCAAAATTTAACAAAAAGCAGCTACTTACGTTAATGCCTTGGCATGATCGCCACTGCGCAGATACTCCTCAGCCATGTCAATGGCCAGTTTTTTGCGAAATCTCAAGCACTTATAGATCTTAAACTGCGCCATGGCCTGACTGAGCAGCGCTATAATAGCCGATGAGTGATTATAGTTGCATTCCAGCTCGCACAGCTGAACATTCGCCAGCTGCTCGGCAACTGGATCACCCGTCTTGACTGCACGTACGCCAAAAAACTCGGTGTACAAACTGGACTGCGTTTGACTTGCCGTCATTGGCTTCGTTGAGCTCGTACTTAAGAGCGTGGCACTGGCCTGTTGGACAGCCTCGCGTCGCTTGATCACATACTCAGCGGCCTTTTGGAAGTAAATGCCCGGATGCTGTGTCTGAAGTGCAGGCAACCCATTCTTGATAGCCTCACAGAAGAGTTCCGCGAAGACAGAGTGTCTGCAAGCAGCAATTTTATGTGTGTACATCTTAATGTCTTTAAAGGCCTTTTAAATGTGCAGCTTACTGTGTACTTAGCCAAGCGTGATGCTCAAAGGCTAAATCCTTGAAGCCCACGCAATTTTTGTATTTCTCAACATGTATAATAAACTGATTGATGGAATCCCTTGGTGTTTTTAACTTAAACATTAACCGACACATCTTATAGTTGAGAAAGCCGGCCACAGTTTTTATTTCCATACAATTGGCATCAGTGATCCGTATCTCATCCAAGTTTCCATAGGCCTGAAAATAGTGTCTGCAAGCAGAGGAAACATCATTGCATTGCCAGCTTTATTGTTGAATTTTCGCTTACTTTTGTGCCGTGCTAAAGTCCTGCCTAATCTCTGCGACAAATCCTAGCTTATACTGATGGCGTATCTTGAGTGTTGTATGCGCCGCCGAGAGTTGATCGCGGTGCGTACGTATTCGTTTGGACATAAGTGCATAGTACGACTGAGCCATGTCCAAAAACGCCGACTCCAGGCGCTGCGTGTAGCCCATCAGATGCTCCGTGTGCGGCAATATGAACAGCATTTTGCTGGTAATGCCACAAGCGGTAGTTAGACTAGCAGCGCGCTCAGCCGCCAGCATATCCTCGCCAGGAGGAAGTGGTGCTGACTTCTGGAGCAGCACCAGGCACAGCCTTGAATTACGTTCTTGCAAAGCATTCTTTAGGCCCTGCACAATTGCCGCGCATTGCACTTGTTTTTCTGTCCACTGGCCGTCGTTCCATTCGATGTCTTGGAAGAGCACCACGACTGATGGCAAGACATGGAGATGCTTTAACATCCAATTACGCTTAAGTATTCCTTTTGGATGGTACCACTCGTAGGACGCGCGTTTCGGCTTAGCGACCGGAAACTCATAGTTCGGAGGCAGTAGTTTATATTGCACGGCAGCGCGGTCCCTCTCCCTGTCCGCTGGCTTCCGTTGTAGGGTGCCGCTGAATGCATCCCAAATGGATTTGTGCACGCTCTGGCTCGCGATATCCAAGCCACAGAAACCTATCAGCGGTTGTGGTATTACGAGCAGCTCTGACGGCAAAGTGGTGGCATCAATCGTCATAGTTTAGTGTGTGTAGTAGATGTGATTTCCCTCCCCGCACACTGCTGACAAACTCTACTTCAAGGCCTGTGTGCTGGTTGTTAACTGGGCGTGGATTTTGCGTTTGCAATGCCTTTAGTGCATTGGGCGCACGCACTACAACAACTTGTATGTATTGTGGAGCTGTTGTCGCCAAAAAATCCAGCAATTTTTACGGTATAAAATGTAAATAAACGCCGCCCCAGAAAATGCAGTTCGCAATCAGCTGTAGCTGTACGTAAGCTTGTTATCGTCATCGAGCACCGATAACTAGCTGCGCATGCAGCCCTGAGCATAGCTGTCACAGACGCACGAACTGTCAGTGGGTTGCCTTCGGCTTCTTTATACGTGTCGTACTACGTACTTTCACATTCATTTTGTTATTTTCGCTCTGAACGCAGGTGAGGCTCGCGTGTGTATGTGGGAAAGTAATTACAATTGTATTAAAATGTTGCTTTTTTTTAAATTTTACAGTGCAACTACGTTATAAACGCATAAAATGGCTCCACCACAGAGAATGCGCGTCGCTAACGAAAAGGCCAGCAAATATGTGTTGATGCGTGGCAATGTACCCAAATCTTCGGTAGGTGTTTAAATCCGAACAAAATTGGCATGTTTTTAATGTATAATATGGGGGTCGCAGTGTTATGCACTGCCACAACTGCAAAACAATAGAGATAATGGCACCTGCACGAGCCAACTACATTTAAAACAAATTCTGAAAAGTGCCACGCCGTCATTGATTTTATTGTTATTGCAAGTGTGCATGTACGTATGTGTGTGTGAGTGTGAGAGTTGAGTCGAATGTTATCGCTTCTTCTGGAATTGCTTAGCTGTGGCTTCGGCGATCTCTTTAATTAATGTTTATCTCTGGTGTTAATCTCTTGCTGTTTCTCTTGACAATTTCCAGAAAGCGAAAGAAGGACAATACCCTGTGGGACCCTGGCTCTTGGCACTGTTTATATTTGTCGTCTGCGGATCAGCGATTTTCCAGATCATACAGTCGATTCGGGCTGCGTAAACCTGAACAAACACAAAATTTAATGATATATCCCTAAGCTCAGCATACTAACACACACACACACAACAGCTTTGACGTCTTCTCTCAAGAACCCTTCGTAACTAAAATATCCCGGCATTATGTGCAACGTCCGCAGAGATTGAACTCCACGACAACTTGGCTTTTTAGTTTACCGAATTTTATGCAATACGTGTTTCTATACACATGCAAAATTTAAGTCCATACTGTGTAATTTTTATTAATAATTAAGCTTATGATCCGAACATTATGTGCGCCCATATTGTAAAAGCATTCCTGCAAACCGCTACGCGCACTTACAAAATACTTATTTGCTGATTGTGCAAAAGGTATGCACAAGTTTATAGATAACTGCATTTTAAAAAGCTTTTGCAGCGATTTGAATAGTGCAAGTGTTTAAATGTTATTTTCGGATACGAGGACGACTAGAAGAAAAAAATTATAAGTAAATACAATGATGAATATAATATATGATAATTTTTTACAACAAATTAAATTTGTGTTCTTATTTTGTAGTATTAATTACTACTATTCATATATTATTAATATTACTATAGAACTATACTTTTCCATACACAACATAATTTTTCGGGTTTCGAATAAAGAAAGTATAATATACCTTAGGAAGAAACGGTACATGCCTGCTGCAGCTTAATTTTAATTTTAAAGATGTTTGCAGCCCTGGCAGCTGTGTCCCATACACGTTGCGATCAAATTATGTGTTCTGTTTGACAGTATTTATCTGATTTAATATTAAAAAGAAAATGAAATGATTTATTGAAAACACCAGAAACAACAATTCTTCAGTGAGAAATTAAGCTGGTGTTCCATTTCACTTTAACGCCAAATTTATAAAGTGGTAACATGGCTAAAAAATCGTAACGTGTAAGAGCCTGACACGAGTCAAACAGCTGATCACTTTGGACGCGAGTGCTTTTCCGATGAATTAATAAATATTTCCGTTAAAATGAGCCTGTAAGGCAATTCAGAAAACTAAAAAACTAATGCGACGCATTTATACAACAGCCAAGGCCCAAATAATGTCGAAAAACAAAGGAAAAGGGAAAGCAACGGCCTCTGCCGCTGCGACAACCCCACCTGCCGCTAACACGCCGGTCACACTGGACAAGAGCGGCAACATTGTCATCAAAATTCTGGCGAAGCCGGGCGCAAAGCAGAATGGCATCACGGACATTGGCCTGGACGGCGTCGGCGTCCAGATTGCCGCGCCGCCCAGCGAGGGAGAAGCCAACGCTGAACTAGTCAAATTTCTGTCCAAAGTATTGGGACTGCGCAAAAGCGACGTCTCACTTGACAAGGGCTCCCGTTCCCGCAACAAAATAGTGCTCGTCAGCAAGGGCGCATCCACAGTGGAAGCCATAGAACAATCGCTGCGAAAGGAATGCGAATCTTAGGCGTAATAACATTAAAATCTGTATTTGGTAATTAATAAACTATTTTAATTTTTAAACACATTTGCTTGTTTATTTTAGTTTATGTTTTATCATCGATCCGATCATCCAACCTTATTACATATTCCATTAAATAGCTAACGCATACGAAGTCTTTGTATTTCTTTCTTTCGATACATTAATTACTTGGATTCTAAATTAGAAATTTCTTATAAACGACAACTGCTCTAAATGAATGTGTAAATCCTAATAGTACAAATTATTCTTGATTCTTGAGTTAAGCGTATTTCTGTCGCCTATAACGCGACACAACGTAAATACAAACTATAATGTAAACTGAAGCATTAAATAACTCTGTTGTCAAGTCAACACAAGAAGCGGTTCCAACAAGGGAAATGAAATGTGATTAACTTTTAAGTAATTTTGTAATGGTATGGTTTTTTTTTTGGTGGGGGGTGTGTTGTGGTGCGTGGTCGTGTGAGGGGCGGTTTGTCTGGCTGCTTAATCGACCTCCTCCATGTGGGATGCATCCTCGGTGTCCTCAACCAGAGACGGAGCATCGCCAGCGCTTTGGGCATCTTCGGTGGTCATGGGCTCATCCTCATCAATGCCAAGACCCAGCTTGATCATGCGATAGATGCGGCTGGCGTGCACCTGGGGGCTGTCCAGCGAGAAGCCAGATGACAAGAGCGATGTCTCGAACAGCAAAATGACCAGATCCTTAACTGCCTTGTCGTTCTTATCGGCATCGGCCTTTTGACGCAGCGTCTCCACAATTGGATGATCGGGATTGATTTCCAGATGTTTCTTACCGGCCATGTAGCCCATGGTTGAGGTGTCACGCAGGGCCTGGGCCTTCATGATGCGCTCCATGTTGGCGGACCAGCCGAACTGCGAGGTGACAATGCAGCAGGGTGAGTCGACCAGACGGTTGGAGACGACAACCTTCTCAACCTTGTTGTCCAGAATCGATTTCATCAGCTTGCACAGGTTCTCGAACTTGGCCTTGTCCTCCTCGCGCTTCTTCTTCTCGGTCTCATCCTCTGGCAGTTCCAGACCCTCCTTGGTGACAGACACGAGCTGCTTGCCCTTGTATTCCTTCAAGTGCTGGATGACGTACTCATCGATGGGTTCGGTCATGTAGACCACCTCGAAGCCGCGTGCCTTGACGCGCTCAACGAAGGCCGAGTTGACGACCTGATCCTTGGACTCGCCAGTGATGAAGTAGATGTGCTTCTGGCTCTCCTTCATCCTCGACACGTAGTCGGACAATGAGCAGAAATCATCACCAGAGGCAGAGGTGTGGAAGCGCAAGAAATCGGCCAATTTGGCGCGATTGTTGCTGTCCTCGTGGACGCCCAGCTTCAGGTTCTTGCTGAACTGGTCGTAGAACTTCTTGTAGTTCTCCTTGTCCTCGGTGAGCTCTTCAATCAGCTCCATGGTCTTCTTGACTAGATTCTTACGGATAACCTTCAAAACCTTGTTCTGCTGCAACATCTCACGGGAAATGTTAAGTGGCAAATCCTCGGAGTCGACCACACCCTTGATGAAGTTCAAGTACTCGGGAATGAGATCCTCGCAGTTGTCCATGATGAACACACGGCGCACGTACAGTTTGATGTTGTTGCGCTTCTTCTGGTTCTCAAACAGATCGAAGGGTGTGCGGCGTGGGATGAAGAGCAGAGCACGGAACTCTAGCTGACCCTCGACGGAGAAGTGCTTGACAGCTAAATGGTCCTCCCAGTCGTTGGTCAACGACTTGTAGAACTCTCCGTATTCCTCCTGGGAGATATCATCGGGGTTGCGTGTCCAGATGGGCTTTGTCTTGTTCAACTCCTCATCTTCTGTGTACTTCTCCTTGATCGTCTTCTTCTTCTTGGCATCCTTATCCTTCTTATCGGCATCCTCATCCTCGCCAACATCCTCAATCTTAGGCTCATCAGTGTCCATCTCTTTCTTCTCATCACCCTCCTTCTTCTCATCATCCTCATCATCGCTAACTTCCTTCTCGCGCTCCTTCTCCACAAGCAATTTGATGGGGTAGCCAATGAACTGAGAGTGCTTGTTGACAATCTCCTTGATCTTGCTCTCCTCAAGGTAATCGGTCTGATCCTCCTTGATGGACAGCACAATCTTCGTGCCACGGCCCAAGGGCTCTGAGTTATCGGCACGGACAGTAAATGAGCCACCGGCGGATGACTCCCAGACGTACTGCTCATCATCGTTGTTCTTTGAGGTGACGGTCACCTTATCGGCAACCAAATAGGCCGAATAGAAGCCAACACCAAACTGGCCAATCATGGAAATATCGGCACCAGCCTGCAATGCCTCCATGAATGCCTTGGTGCCCGACTTGGCAATTGTGCCCAAGTTGTTGACCAAATCGGACTTGGTCATACCGATGCCGGTATCAATGATGGTCAGTGTACCAGCGGTCTTGTTTGGGATTAGCTTGATGTACAGCTCCTTGCCGGAGTCAAGCTTGCTGGGATCCGTCAGCGATTCATAGCGGATCTTGTCGAGCGCATCAGACGCATTGGAAATCAATTCACGCAAGAAGATTTCTTTGTTCGAGTAGAATGTGTTGATGATCAACGACATGAGCTGAGCAATCTCAGCCTGGAATGCGAAAGTCTCAGCTTCTTCAGGCATCTGCAATAAAACCAAACCAAATTAAAATTAAGTAAACAGGGCACAAATTTAACGGCAAGAAAATCTGCATGCATACTTTGCAACTTCACGATTGTGCAAAATTAAACCCTACGCCATTTGCGTTAGCTCCAATCAGAGAACATTCGTGCATATATGCATATATTGCATATATTGCTTACTCACTCACTCATGCACGCAAGTACATGCATGCAAAAGCGATGTACACACAACATGTCTCTCTCCTTTGCATGTACGAGTTTTGAGTGAGTATGTATGTACACATATGTATGCATGCATGTACATATTTAATTGGAAAAATCGAGAAGCGTTGCCTTGCCAACTTATACAATTGTCCATGTATTCTAGAAATATACCCTTTATATATTGCAGTTGGTAAATACAAAGTAATTTTGCTCTTTATTCACAATAAATTTCTAGAATTTTTCCTTGAAGCGCCGAAAAATGTAAAAGGCGCAAATTCGTACATTATGTATACACGTGTGAAAGTAAGACAAACGCAAATGCATACAATTGCAATCGTACAATATGGGAAATATAATTATAACCATACACCCAGTAGCATTTAAAATATTGGGAAGGCTGTAAAAAAAAAAATTCAACCTTCTGGAAGCAATGCTCCAGAAATTTCTACAATTTTCTGCAACCGGCATAATCTGCAAATGACTCAATTCAAACGCGCGCTCTCCAATTTTGTAGCTGTGTGCGTGAGCACGCTAAACTTTGCAATTTATTAAAATTTTAAAAATTATAAATGAAACATAGGTCATTAGACGGCAATTTCTAGAATTTTCTGCAATCGATACCACAAGAAATTGTGTCAAGAGCGCTTCCTTCACATACACACATACATTCGTTAAAATTCACAAATGAAATAGCAATTGTCTTTGTGCAGCATTTTCTCCGTTTTAATAACAGATACGTCGCGAATTTTATGATGCTTACCTTGTATGTCTTTGTTTCACAGAATTAACTTTAAAAACAATATACTTTTCAGTTTTCTTTGGGCAGAAAATGAAATTTACTTTTTTCGCTTTGCTTTGCTTTCAAGCAGTCGCTTCACAATGCTCACCGCACGAATTTTGTTTCAATACTGACAAGCCGGCATCTGCTTACTGTTGCTTTTATAGAGGGTGCACAAAATGCCTCGAAACTTCTAGACACTTCTAGATACTTCTCGTCACCAGGGCTACCTCTTCCGGTTATCAACACATTGTTGCATGGAGACAACTGACAGTGTTGTAAGTGGATGGTTTTGAAAAGTTCTAGAAAATACGTATAAGGTTATGGGATTTATTGGTGTATTAGTATTATATACAAAAAACCGAGGGATTTTAATAAACCCATAAACATTATTTGCATATTAATAAGCTTTAGCACACTCATTTTGTCATTTGCAATAAATAAGGAAAGTATAATTTAATAAATATTTTTAATTAATTTTATGTCTATGCGCACTGTTGGTATATTTTTCGTTTTTCTTTGGTATTTTATTGCCAAACGTGGAATGAACATAAAGTGTGGCCGACCTTTTCTTTATGTGTATTTTGGAACTAAATTAGGAACGCGTTTTTATTTTTGTTTATACCTTAGTTAAGTTGAGAATAAGTGGATTGATTATATGTTAACATGGGTGGCACTCGCTGCGTTTTCCGCGACTGTCAAGTCTCAACACAGCGCAATCCGAAGATGCATTTTTTTAAACTTCCAGTTCGTGATCCAGTTCGCCTGGAAACCTGGTTAAAGTATTGCGGCAACGCCGACATTTTAAATGTTACGCGAGAGAAGCTATCAAATCGCGCGGTATGCGCCCGCCACTTCCGCTACGAATGCTTCATGAACTACAAATTGGATCGACTTATTCCGAACCAGACGCCCACGTTGATGCGCGTCAGCAAGGATCTGGCCTGGGACCTGGAGCACCTCGACGAGAATGGTGAAGCCACAATGGTCAAGCTGTCCCTGCCCACATTGTCACACTTGATACCTCCTGATAATTTCGAGTGCCCACTTGGTTTCACCGAGGATGCCCGATTTGGCCGCAAATACGCAGCGAGAAGACGAACGCCCCCAAAGCCTTTGACCCTGGAACCAAATAAAAAACAAAAAGTTGCACAGGAGCAGCTAAACAAGACTGAAGCATCCATAATCGTTGACTTGAGCACAGTCAACATAGGCGATGAAAAGCTGGAAAAGGAGCTGTCTGGAAAAGTTGTTGATATGGAAATATTAACAGAGCCCAATAAAGCGGAATCCGCTGCTTTGCAAAGTTCATCCTCCACCGAAGAGCTTCCCCAAGAACTGCAGATTAGGTATGACCAATTGAGTGCAAACTACGAGCAGCTCTCAAAGGATAATGCCGATTGTAAGCAATCAATAATAAGACTAGAGGCTCAAATTCAAGCCTTAAAAAACAATAGCACATCCAACTGTGCGCCACAATTGTCCAAACCACAACTGTATAATGGCATTAAAAAATATCTGGGTCCAACTATGGCTGCGCTCGTGCGTATGGAAATGTTTGGCGGCGCCGAGCGTCCATGGAAGGAAGATGAGCGCGACTTTGCCAAGGAGCTGTTGCAGCTCGGCGAAGAGGTTTACACACACTGCTGCGATGAGTGGCGATTCCGGTTGCCCTCGCTGCGTATGGCACGTAGCTGGCTGGATGACAAAGGAGCTGCAGCTGCCGAAGACGAACAGCTATAGACGCAACATTTGATGTCATCTTTAAATGTACGAGTGCTGTGACTCAATTCGAACAAGATCAGCAGACAGAAATGTGTTATCTTTAATTAGGTGTATATAAAAAACTTACTCTCATTTGGATGTTTTTGGCATCAATGCCAAATTTATATGGGGCACAAGCAGCAGAACTATAATTTATTTGCTCATGCCAATCTTTATGATTATAATCCATGCCCATGGTCTCCATATAAATCATAATTGCCGCATTATTAAAATGCGATTTGAAAATTAACACGCTTCAAAGCTTTTTCGGCCTCTCAACCGAACAGACATATCAAACGAAGATTACAGGATGAGTCCGTGTCTCAAAATTGCAGCAGTAAGTGAAGAAACAAAATGTGCTACAAAATATGCCTTAACATTTCTTATTTGCAGTTATTAGTTCTGCTTCCATGGCTTGAAATGATAAATTGCCAAACATGTTCGGATTGTTCACTGACAGGCGGCACATACGCCTGTGTGGATGAATTCAAGTATGGAATCTGCTTCGGTCTGGGTGCCGTCCAACCCGATGCCATTGAATCATGTCCAGATGGTCTATACTGTAATGTTGATGGCACATTTTGCACACCGATGGAGACCTCTTCTGTTAGTTCTTTAGAAATTATCAACCTTTGCAATTCTCAATTTCAAGTCCTAATATTGTAGCCATCCTGTGTAACATCCACGACTACAGTGGCATCAAGTGAGTCGTCCTCATCGCAGTCCACGGAATCGACTACAAGTGTGACCACGGATTCGTCCACCTGCTCAGATTGTTCACTGACAGACGGCATATATGCCTGTGTGGATGAATTCAGTTATGGAGTCTGCTTCGGTCTGGGTGCAGTCGATCCCGATGCCATTCGTTCATGTCCAGATGGTTTATACTGTAATGTTGATGGCACATTTTGCACACCGATGGAGACATCTTCTGTTAGTTCTGTAAACATTTTAGAAGTTGGCAATTTTTAATCTCCCATCTTTTTATTGCAGCCATCCTGTGTAAGTACCACAACTGTGGGGCCCACTGATTCGTCAACTTCACAGACCACAGAATCTTCTACATCGCAGTCCACAGATTCGTCAACAGTTATACCCACTGATTCTTCCACCCCTCAGCCCACAGAATCGTCTACATCACAGGTCACAATATCATCTACATCGCAGGTCACAGATTCATCTACATCGCAGGCCACAGATTCTTCAACAGTTACACCCACTGAATCGTCCACCCCACAGTCCACCGATTCATCTACATCGCAGGCCACAGTTTCTTCAACAGTTACACCCACTGTTTCGTCCACCTCGCAGTCCACAGAATCGTCTACATCGCAGGTCACAGAATCCTCTACGTCGCAGGCCACAGAATCTTCTACATCGCAGGCCACAGATTCTTCAACAGCTACACCCACTGAATCGTCCACCCCACAGTCCACAGATTCTTCAACAGTTACACCCACTGAATCGTCCACCCCACAGTCCACCGATTCATCTACATCGCAGGCCACAGTTTCTTCAACAGTTACACCCACTGATTCTTCCACCCCGCAGTCCACAGAATCGTCTACATCGCAGGCCACAGAATCTTCTACGTCGCAGGCCACAGAATCTTCTACATCGCAGGCCACAGATTCTTCAACAGCTACACCCACTGATTCGTCCACCTCGCAGTCCACAGAATCGTCTACATCGCAGGTCACAGAATCTTCTACGTCGCAGGCCACAGAATCGTCCACCCCACAGTCCACCGATTCATCTACATCGCAGGCCACAGTTTCTTCAACAGTTACACCCACTGATTCTTCCACCCCGCAGTCCACAGAATCGTCCACCTCGCAGTCCACAGAATCGTCTACATCGCAGGTCACAGAATCCTCTACGTCGCAGGCCACAGAATCTTCTACATCGCAGGTCACAGAATCCTCTACGTCGCAGGCCACAGAATCTTCTACATCGCAGGCCACAGATTCTTCAACAGCTACACCCACTGATTCGTCCACCTCGCAGTCCACAGAATCCTCTACGTCGCAGGCCACAGAATCTTCTACATCGCAGGCCACAGATTCTTCAACAACTACACCCACTGATTCGTCCACCTCGCAGTCCACAGAATCGTCTACATCGCAGGTCACAGAATCCTCTACTTCGCAGGCCACAGAATCTTCTACATCGCAGGCCACAGATTCTTCAACAGCTACACCCACTGATTCGTCCACCTCGCAGTCCACAGAATCCTCTACGTCGCAGGCCACAGAATCTTCTACATCGCAGGCCACAGATTCTTCAACAACTACACCCACTGATTCGTCCACCTCGCAGTCCACAGAATTGTCTACATCGCAGGTCACAGAATCTTCTACGTCGCAGGCCACAGAATCGTCAACAGCTACACCCACTGATTCTTCCACCCCGCAGTCCACAGAATCGTCCACTTCGCAGTCCACAGAATCGTCTACATCGCAGGTCACAGAATCGTCCACCCTACAGTCCACAGATTCTTCAACAGCTATACCCACTGATTCGTCCACCTCGCAGGTTACAGATTCGACAACACCAATAACAACAACAGTCGCTCCCGAAGTTGATCCCGATGTATACTGTGCGGGTCTCAACAAGAAAGGCTATTTCAGAGTAGAGAGTGATTTAACCTGCAAAGAGTGAGTTGCCTGCCAATCGCCATATAGTTAAAAGAATATTTATATTATTTATGTTTTTACAGATATGTGTACTGCTATAAACTATCGGGAGAATATTTCGGCTGGCTCTACTATTGTAACACCAACGAATATTATAACTCCAAAACTAGTCTCTGCGAAACTGAACGACCTGATGACTGCTGACAGTCATTATTATGTTACATTATATTACTCGCAAAACTGTATAAAAGTACGATAAACTACTGCGAGGCAAAAAAATAAATAAAATATTTTATATAACTTAATATAAATAATTATTGTTTGTTATTTGGCAGCCTTTTTAAAATATGGCTGGCAAAACTGTATACAAGTTGTATAAACTACTGCGAGGCAGAAAACTAAATAAAATATTTTATATTACTAGATAAAATAAAAAAAAATAAAAATGGTTGTTCAACAAGGAGTTTAAACATAAGCTTTTGTTGTATGTAGAGAACAGAGAATATTTATAGTATAGCCCACAAGTTTATATTTATATCAAAGTATAAGGAAAAGAAAAATTAAAGAGAAACGCGGCAGTATAAAGCTAGAGACGCGTATGGGGAAGTAATAAAATGTTCATGTACAATTCTCTGGTTTTTCATTATCACAGTATTCTCCGTTAAACCAAAATCCTGATCCACACTCCTGTACAGAGGCAGTCCACTCATTATTGTCAGTATAGCATTGCACGTACCTATGAGAAAAGTTACATATATTATCTGGATAGGATTGTTAATGCATATGCTTACGTGGCACAGGTGGGATCCAATTCATTTGTATACCAGGCTGCCGTTTGAGTTTCTTTACAAAACATGACTGGATCCCATGGGGTTACTGTGGTGGTAGCTGGCGTGGTGGTTGACCCAGTTACACAATTGGTAGTTCCGCTTGCTTTTGGATAACATATATATTTTTGCCCGGTGCAATGATAATCCTTGGGACATTCTATATAATCCTCTGTCGGAATGCCTGAACAATTGTTGAAGCTTATGAATCGATGTGCTTGTGAGAACTCTATAAATGCTCACCATTTAGGCAGATTGAAAAGGATGTTTCACTGTGGCAGGCAACTGGAACTTCAGTTTGGCAGACATCGCACTGGCCCATTAAATTGGATGGAAGGCCTAGGGAAACTATAAAAACCAGCACCTAAAGAGGAGAGTAACATATTCGGCATATCAAATAAAGGACAGATATATGCGCTACTTACGATCTTTGAGAACTGAAACATTTTGGAGCATGTGCAGTGCAGCGCTGATTATGATATACTGTCACAAATTGATGGATCTCTCGATTTATATGCTAATCTAATGTGCACAGATAAGAAAAACAACCTTGATTTTGATCACATCATAAAGAATTTTCGGCTGTATATTATAGCAATTGCGATAAACCTTGAGAAAGTCATAAACCAAAGTTAAGACTCTTGTGAGTCTGGGATAATTTTTTTTTTTTTTGCGAATTATTATCTCAGATAAGCAACAAAGTGGAGCAAAATACTTAAGAGCTGTTCATATTATTTATGAAAAAACAGAAAACAAGATATTCTTGGTTAGTTGGCGACATTTAACTTAAACAGCATCATAGAAAATTGTTTTAGGTGCAATTATCTGGCTTCACGGAATCACAAGCTGTTCCATTAAAATATGGCTTTTTCGATGATGCACATTCAACTATCTTTCCAGTCATTACAGTTCCACTTTTATAACAATAGACGAACCTAAAAAAATGAATAACAAAAATGTACAACCGGCTATAGAGTATTATCGGTCAGTTACTTACGATTTACAGGTAGGATCGCCTTTGTTTACATAATTAGCAGCCTGACTCTGGGTGGCACAAAATGCGACGGGGTCCACAGCGGGTATACAGATGGGTTGATAGTCAGTTTCCGGATAACATATATACTTTTCGCCGGTACAAATGTAGTCAGTGGGACAGGTTATAGTGTCGTTAGTGGCTACCCCTGTGACCAGAACGGATTGGCTTAGGCATTATAACATCCTCGAATCTCTCATGGCATATTCACCTGATAAGCATATTGAAAAGGTGTTCTCGCTGTGACAGGCTACATTTCCGGACTGACACACATCGCAGGTGGCGTGCAAATATTGCACCAACAGCTTTTATTGGAATTGTATTTATTAATATATATTATAACTAAATGTTATTGAGTTCCTAATGGAGTCTAGTTACCAGAGATACAAACAGCTTTGACCACATCTTGCCTCTATCGCGGCAGCTTCACTTTTCCAACTAAAATATTTTGGGCAAAGATTGTGGATTTTATGTACGATTTCCTACGCTGATAAAAACCATATTATCTTAGCTAGAAACTCATCATTATGCTTTTTAGTTTATGAGCTATTTGCTTGAGTTTTATTTTTATATCTTATATATTAAATAATCTTATGAAAACAAACGTTGTCCAATGTTTTCGAATAAGAGACTTTCTTCACAATCCACCGGCTTCTCAGTTTACCCCGTCAATAAACTATCAGGTCCACTTAGAAGACAACAGAGGAAACTGAGAGAAACTAAAAAGTAGAGTAGCATATTCCAATATCGAATATAATGACAGATATATACGCAACTTACGATCTTTTAAAACTGTGTCCATGGCAGCGCCTCTTATAATATACTGGCACAAATTCATGGGTATCTTGATTTATATGCTGATATGTGAGCCTGAGATAGCCGCATTTTCTGCGAAACATTATCTTAGATAAGCAACAAATTGGGTAAAAAACTTAAGAGCTATTTTCTCGATTCTAACACATTATTTAAGAGAATAAAAAACAAGATACTCTTGATAAGTTGGCTACATTTTACTTAAACAGCATCATATAAATTGGTCTTTAGTTGCGCAGAGATCAGTTTTAGGTGCAATTATCTGGCTTCACGGAATTGCAAGTTGTTCCAGTAAAATATGGCTTTTTCGAAGATGCACATTCAACTATAAGTCCAATCCATAAATCTCGTCCACTTTTAACACAATTAATGAAACTACCAATATTAACAAAAATTTAACATAGAGTTTTGGTCAGTTAATTACGATGTACTAACCTTTTGCAAGTCGGATCATTTCGATTTTTTATAGTTGCCAGTTTTACCCAATTGTGCACAATATTCGCTTGGGTCCCAATTGCCTGTTTCTGTGCTTATTGTGGGTTCATAACTAATAGCAGATTCCGTGGAGGTTGTTTGTCCGGCATTTTCAGTATCTTCACTCTTTGCTGTCCAGATTCTCGGTTGTGGTTTTACGTACAGATTTAACTTAATGGCTTCATAAATCCGTACAAATTAATTATCTGAAAGTAAAGAATATAAGTAGGCTGAAAGTTGGATGATTTAGCTGCGATTCAAGTTACCAGAGATATTAACACCTTCAGCCACATTTGTTACGGTTGCGCTTCTCTCAATTCTCAAACTAAAATGCTGTGCAGAAAAAGTTATCTCTATGTTCATTGTTGTGGGAAGATCTCGCATTGGACTTAACAACGGCTTTAATTTTTATTAACTTTATGTTTGTGGTTTTATTGCGTATTTAGGCGTTTGTCAATAAATTAAAGAACTTTACTTCTACTTTAATTGTTATTGCTTAGTCTTAGAAAAATATATGTATATTCACAAATTGAAGGCGCATTCGTTAGCTGTAAGCTTTAGTATACAATGTGTGTGGCGTGTAGGAATATATTCGAGTTCAAGTGTTACATGTAAAATGCATATATATAATCATAATAATAAAACTTTTGACCTGTGGCTGCTCTTGGGGCAGCCCAATCTTGTGGACGTAACGGACATACATTTCGGTATTGGTATACACATACATAAGTACATGGGTATATGAGTAAACGTGTATATATATATATATGCTACTAGGTAATTCTGAATTCGCACAGTTGCCGTAGTCTTCGTTTAGTTACATATAAATACGACTACAATTTGTATATCTATCTAAATCTAGTTGTAAAACACAACATACACAAAAAGTTATGTAAATGCTACGTATATAAATTGCAGACCTGTTTGTCTGTAGCTTAAGGCAAATCATAGCATTTAAGAAGCACTTAGTAAATTTCTCTTCTGTTAAGCTAAAGGCATAAATTCGTTACTTTCTAAAACGAAATAATACTTCGTCGTCAGCAAATGCAGTTTTCTTGTGTTCCAAATGATCTAAACGCAGCCGTATTCATACCAAATGCTATTGCTCTTATCCTCATTGCGTTTACGCATTGCTTTATCGTCCTGGTTGGCGCTGCCGGCGACGCTGCCGCCACTGCCGCTGGCCTGCAGCAGCGGACTCTGATCGCTAGTTGTTGTGTTGGCGGGTGCACCGCCAATGGTTGTATTGATGCGATTGTACATAAGAAACGTGGATGGCTGATTGTCGTTCTTCAGTGGTGTTTGTGGCTCAGCGCCGGTGGCGGCGGCGGCAGCGGCAGCGGTTGCTGTAGCATTGTTGCTGGGAGTGGGCGTTGAAGTAGCCTGCGGCTGTTGCGACTGCTGCGCTGAGGCGCTTGAGCCATCCGGCAGCTTTTCGTCGATTAAATAAACGGTGCGCCGAGAGCCTGCAGTGCCTAACGTCAAGCTGCTGCCAGTTACATCCGGCGGTTCAAGGGTGCTGCAAGCAAAAAGCCATTAGAATAAATACACAGCAAAAGTGGCACAAATGCGATTTATGGGCAAAACGATATCCACAAAACACAAACACATATATAGGCATATAGCGCCGCATCAAAGGAGTTGGGGAGTAGGATGATTTTTGTTGTATTAAGGATTTAATGTATGTTAGACATTTAAAAGCGCATACCCGTGCACGCTATTTCTACGTGAGTTACTCAAATCCGTACGTTTCTGTGCCTGCAGGCTACTTCGCACAGTGCCACCGCGTTGTATGGAGCTATCCAGTAAATCTCTGTATATGGTACATAAACAATACAATATACAGTGTGTGTGCGTGTGCGTGTAAAGTTGTTGTTGTGTATATACATGTAAATATAACAAGAACAAGAACCATAAACCAAACTAATTACATCATTTAACCAGGAAAGCAAATGCATTCGGCATGCCAAAGCTTGATTGTCCTCGTAGGACTAACAATTAATGCTTCCAGCTTTTTTGTCAGCTAGAGAGCATATCAACAGTTTAAAGAATCCTTGCCGAGATTCGCATATATTTGTTAAAGTAAAGTCCAAGCACATAAGTACTTTACTTAGTCAAATTTCAAGCGGATCCGGATAAAATAGCGCATTATCTTCAATGAAAACTTAATCTTATGGAGCATTGCTCGTATCTCTACAAAGATAAACTAAGACTCAGCTTACCGCTGAAGACTCTGACGCAGCGGCATATTACGCTGCAGCAAATGCGTGTCAGAGGCTATGGATAGCGGCTCCTCGTTGCTATTATCCGACTCATTGCCGCCCGATTCGGAGCCGATGACAAACTGTGAATTGGTGCGCGCATCATCAACCCAAGAGCGTCGATTCTGCAATATACCAAGCATTATTTCTATTAGTATAAATTAGGAAGATAATCAACAGATTCCCTACCCGACTAGGCACTTTATTCATCAAATCGGAGCTGGCCTTCTTAACGCGTCGAACGAGGCTGCTGGCAAATGGTTTCCTGTGAAATATTGTGGGTTAAGTAAGTTCCAGCTAGATAAGTTTTAACTCCTTTACATACTTTTTTTGCACAGTAGTCTCCGATTTCTTATAGTGCTCCATTATTTTCTCTTCGAGCTTTTCCTTTTGACGCTTCAGACTGTGCACACGTTCCGTATAGTTCTTTTCTTCCTCATGGAAGTGCTTCTTATCCTCCAACGAAATGGCCAGCAGTTCTTGGTACTGCGACAGCAGCTGTGACACATTATCCATCAGAGCCTTGCGTTCCGAGTCTAAGTCGGCATTGTTTTGTATAAGCATCTTTGCGGAAAAAACGTATAATTAATTATATTATAAATGGGAAGAGTATCAAAGTACTGTGAAACTCACCTCGCAACGCTGCTGCACCTTGGAGTATTCGATCTGGAGCAGACGCACCTGATCTTGTTTAACATTTAGCTCGCCGGTTAGTTCGGTATTTTGCAATTTCAGACTGCTGTGCTCCACGCGTATCATCTTGTACTGTTCCTGTATGTTCTTGTACTCGTTCTTGAAGCGATCGCTGGTGGCGAAGAGATTGCGGAAGTCGTCTGTAAGCTTGGAGTGCTCGGTGCGCAGTATTGCGAGGTCTTCGTGGCATGTTTTCATGCTGTTGGTCTGTGCTGTCAACTCCTCGATACGCTGCTCCTGTGATTGGATTGTCTCGCGTGCATCGCGCGTCTCTTGGCGCAGATCTCGCACGGCCGCCTTTAGCTGTTCCTTGTCCTTGTTGAGCGACTCATATTCGGCGGAGAGCTGATCGTGCAGACACTGTAGTGTAACCTGATCCTGCAGCGCGTGTTTATGCTCCTGCTGTAATGCATCAATATCCTTCAGCAGCGTATCCTTTTCGGCGGCCAGCTGTGAGTTGGCCAACTGCAGCGCCACGTGCTGTGTATTGAGCGATGTGATTTGTGAGCCCAATGCTGCCACATCCACACTGAGACGAGCATTCTCTGTTTGCAGCTGCGTGTTGCTGTCCTGCAGCCGCGTCACTTCCGCCGAGTCGCGCGCTGGACTTAGACGCAGCTTGTGCTCGAAACGAAGCTCCTGCGTTGTCGGTGCGTGTGTCGCAGCTGACAATTCAATGTTCTTTTCAACAGTAAAGATCTCCTGGCGATGGCAGAGCACACACATATCCGACTTGACGCCAGCCTCCAGCTGCTGCTCACGATTGACATTAAGCATTATTTCACGCACCGTTTTGAAGGTCTCCGGGTTGCGCACTAGCTTCTCGACTACATGCTCCACATTTAGTTCGGCCGGCTCTCCATCGACTTCGTTAACGTCGAGACCCAGCTTTTCTAGATTGTGGCGCACCTTTTTGGTGACGAGCGTGCCATTGACCAGATCGTTTCGTAACGTGCTAATCATTTCCCGATCTATGTTGCGCTGCGAACTCAGCTCTTGATTCTGTTTTTCCAGTTCGACAAGTTTTTGCTGCACTTGCTCCGCTTCGTCCTCAACTTTGGCGAGCCGCATTAGCTCCTTGGCTTGCGTGTCCAGCCGATTAATGCTCTGGTCTAGCTGCACAGACTTTTGTTCACTACTCTCTTTGAGTTTGGCCACCTCCTTAAGAAGGCTGGTGTTTTCGCGCTCGAAGGTGCACACCTTGGCTTCGATCTCGTAGAGTTTCTGCTTGGTCTGCTCGTACTGTTGTTGTTTCTCAGCATACTGTTCCAGTTCCTTGGTTTTGCTCTCTGCAAGACGCTCCAAATCATCGGCTCGCCGCTGGATGCTCTCGTTGAGCGTTTGAATGCGTTGCTTCTCCTTGTTCAGTGTCTCCACATGCTGTTCGGCATCCGAAAGTTTCTGGCGATCTACCTCACGCTCTAGACTCTGGCGATCGTAGCTCTTCTGACGATTATCGACGGCATCCTGCAGTTTTTTGTTCTCTTCAAGTGCGTTTTTGAATACGCTCTCCAATTCTACATTTTGTTGCGTTAATCTCTGAATGTTCTCTTGCATTTGTTCGATTTTCAGCGACAATTTCTTCTTCTCCTTCTCGAGCTCTAGCATTTTGCTGGTGGATTCATGGAAACTGCTTTCCTTCAACTGTTCCAGGGCGGCAGTGAGTCGTCGGTTCTCCAGCTCCAGTTTAAGAGCACGCGTTTGTGCATTGTTTGTGAGCTGCTCGGATAAACTGTTGTCGCCCGAATTGCACTCGTCCTCATTGTCGGAGAAGGATTTATCAATCTCCTGCGTGGAATTGAGATTCTTTGCTACCAGCTGTAGCTGTGCATTTTCCTCGAGCAGCTCCTCTAGCTTGGATCTATCTACATCACGCTCCAGCGCCATGTCATTGAGTTTCTGCTTGTACTTGATGATTTCCGACTCTAAGGTGATGGCATGTTCCGAACGCTTGCGTGAACGCTGCAGCTGCTCCTCCAGCATTTCTCTGCGAAGTGGGATACAATTTAAGTAAATCGTTTATGTATGTTACTATTTGAATATACTTGGATTCCAGCAGCACGCGATTATCCTCGCGCAGCTCTTCAACACGTGATTTGTAAAAGTCAGAGTCGCCCAGCTTTTCCCTATATTTCTGCACCTCAATCTCCAGACGATCGGCACGTTCGGCACGCTCCCGCAATATATCAACCTCATCCCGATAGGCAGCCGCACGCTTGGCCTCGGTAAACCACTCCTGACTCTGTTGAACAGTAAGAGGACATTAGTTAATTTTTTAGGTTAGGAATTGAAGCCTCTTACCTCCTGGCGCAACTTGTCGAAGCGCTGCTTTTTGTCATCAAGCTCCTCGCGCAACTCCAGCAGATTCTCCGACTTCTCCTCCCTGTGAAGAGGAAATTTTGTAGAATTTACAGTTTGGTTATTGGATAAGGCGACTTACAGCTCCTGACGCAATTTGCGATTCTTTGATCTAAGATCCGCGCACTCCACGGCTAAGTGATTGCTCTCTGAATTGGAGGATGAGGAAGGCGTCGAGGTGGCCGTGCCGCTGGAGGGTGATCGTGGCACACTGACACCTTGGCCGCATTCAGCGCCTTCACTGTTACTTAGCTCTGGCTCCACGCACACGGTCTCGATCCACTTCAAGTACATGTGATCGCGCTCCTTAGTAAGGCGGATTATGTGGCCATACATGTTCTCCGCCGATAAACGGTCTATTGAATCCTCAGTGAGCACCAGACTATGGCTATCCGTAACCTGTTTGATGAGCGCCACAATGCCATGCTGCGTCTCCAGATCTAGCTCCTTGATGCGCGCAATGAACAGCTCCTTATTAGGGCATTGCACAGCTGCACCCAGCAACAGGGTGAGCAGCGTTTTCATCTGTTCCAGGCCATGCTTACTCTCCGGATAGTAGCCCAGCATGTATGCATCTGGCAGCACCAATATAGTTTGGCCCAGCTCCTCCTCGAACAACGACTTTAGATTGCGGACAATGCACTCAAAGTTCTTGGCACGCGCGATGCTCAGTGAATTGCCGCTGAGATCGCTGAGCAACTCGCTAGGATTGTTCTGCGGCTCCGGATCGATCTGCAGCCAAACACTGTGTATTATGAGCCCATCCAGCAGCGAGGTATAACCAGCGAGTAGCTCGGCACGTGGCAGGCATGACTCCAGCTGAAAGCGAAAGATGAACCCAAGATGATGATGTGCAGCTGCCAGACTTACTATAATAACAACAACGACCACGGCTTTCAAGTTCCAATTGGCAACTTAATTAATAACGCAACATTTCCTTTTTAAAAAGGTGCACTGAACTTGTGGCAAGCACAAGCTCAACAGGTAAGAGAGTTCTATTTGAGAATGACCGACTGGGAAATACTCAAGTGCTGATTATTCTCACACGTTTATACCAAGAGGATGTAAATTAATCTCTAAGGGATGTAGATTCAAGAAGCGAGTAAAAGCGAGAGGCAAATAGTAAGTGAAGGAGAGAGAAGAGAGAGCAAGGAGGGTAAGAGCGAAAATAGGTTTAATAATTACCAACTGATAGAAACTGTGCTCTTATTAAATCTTACTTAAAAGAATATTCGGTGAGCTCAGAAGGACTATTCGCATTAGGGGAAGTTTTAAGAAACAAACGGTATATTATACCCTTTTTTATTGGACTAATTTGCAAAGGGTATGAAAAGCCGGTCGAGCACAACTCTCAGTTCTCGCAATTGGCAAACAAAAGGCTGCCGACGGGCCGCTGCTAATGACAACATAAAAAAGTTGTTGTTGTACCGTAAACGGTAGCAATAGCCGTCCCAGCCAAAGCCACAGTTACAATGACCTTGGGGGCTGTGCGGCGGAAATCTATGTGGCTATAGGTATCGGTATGTATGTATATATATATGTATATGCACATACATATGTATGGGTGTTATGTGCGGGCGCATGTATGTAAATTGAACACTTGAATATTTGTATGCCAATCACGTTGTTATTCGGTTACCCTCTTATGTGCATGTCGAGCATGTTCATCCACTTACCCAAGAGACGAGCGCTCCATTTATGAATTCGTCAATTTCCATTGGTGTTGCGGTTGCCGTGCCAGCCATTGTTGTTGTTGTTGCCGTTTTTCCAGTGTGTGCGTGTGTGTGTGTGTGTGCCTGCGTGCGTGTGCTTATGAGGCGACGCCGCTGCTGCTGCACCTGCACTCGCACCTGCCGCAATCGTCAATACAACTGCACTGGCGACAGCAACGGCGGCCGTGTCTTTGTTTCTAATTCAATTGCCGCCGCGACAGCTTGACAGCCTCCAAATCATTACCCATGCAAACACACACACACTCACACACGCGCGCATAGACACAGTTTACAAGCCAATGACAATCACAGAAAACACGAACAAATGTTAGATTCTTGTTTTTAGTGTTAGATGTGTGGCGCGGATAAACGTTTAGTTTTATTTGTTTAACATAAACAGGCAATAATCTGCTGTTTTTTTTTTTGGCGAAACACCTGCGTTGCGCTAGTTGTAAATTGGGGATGTAAGAAATAAACAGTTAGAGATGTACTAAGCACATCGATGTAAGCGTAGGCGATATTTAGTTTGTTATCGATATACCTATCGTTAAAATTGAACATTTGACAATGCCTATCGCAGCAATATTATTATTGCATTTTAACAATAAATGGCATTAAAGCATATAAAGGCTAGTTACGCTCTTGCCAATAAAACACATTTGAGAATTGCCCTATCGATTGCTTATCGAACTAGTAATGTAAAGTAACTGACTCGATCAGCAGGCAGCTGTTGCTATATTTTGCCACTACTGGCAACTCTGTGCGCTAGTTGCCGTTGACATTTCTTAGCGCCCAAAGCTTATTTGTGTGTGGGAATGCCTGGCTATACTGACGAACGGATTATTTAACGCGTCCGTAAAAATGGCTAAAATTGCGAATCAAAATTGCAAATTACGAAAATTGCACTGTTAAATTAATTACTTATATTTGGAAAACGTATTCGAAAGTATTGAAAACGAAATAAAACGACGCGTACGCGTACCGTGAGAGTGCGTGAAGTTAAAGGCGGCTTGCCTATATATAGATACTTCTATATATGCTGAAAGAATTGCAAATAGGTTAAAAATTTAGTATTCGATATGGGCAATCAACCCGGTAAACTGCAAACGGCACAGACTGGACGGCCCAAAAAGAATGTGCATTGGAAATCTGCAGGCAAGTTATACAGAATGCCCGGCCCAATTCCATAAAAAAAATTACAACTAGAATCTTAAATATATTCCCGAGTTTCCACACTGAAAAGTTCTCTAATTGGCTGTGAGAGCATGCACACATAGTCCACATAGTTGGTGGGAGCGCTAGAAATTTGGCTATTTTTAGCCACTCGCACATTCAAGTGGTTGCCGCGGCCGTCCATTGACGCGACGCCGTCCGTCGGGCCGTTTTTCTGTTGTTATACCCTGCTCCCATTGAATTCGGGTTGAAAAAGGGTATAATGATCACTGGCAAATGTATGTAGTAGGCAAAAGGAGCCATCTCCGCATAGCTCAAGTGATCTAGGCGTGTCGGTGTGAGCGCGTGAACCTCAGAGACTGAAAGAACTAAAAGAACAAGAGACTAAAAGAATAACGTTTTATTTTAAATCATCGATAACTCGCACCGTTTTTATGCAATCGATAGGTTTCGATTTTAAAAATCAGAGTTTTCGAGCATAGCTTAGCGCTTATTTTCCCATTATGTAGAAAAATATGGAATATTTGTTACGGAGCTCAAGGCTGTTTACAGGGTACCACCGAGTCGTGCACGCCCGACTCAAGCTCTCTTACTTGCTTCTTCTTTTTTTCTGAATCTTTGGCCTAAAATCTGAAGACGTCAAAGTAATGTTTTCGAAATAGATTTTTTTTGTTTTCTTTTAAAATACTGCGCAAGCGCCTGAGTTTCTGTTCTTATTTTTGTTGTTGAATTTTATGCATTATTTACCTGTGCTTTGTGCTCTTCCGTTTTTCAGAACGGCCCTCTCCGCCGGGTCGCCCCATACTGACACCTCTGGCGCTCTCCGAGCAGCAGCCCGATGTGTTTAACCTGCGCTGGGATCGCCCGCTTCTGGACGGTGGCTCGCCCATTATCGGCTATACGGTCGAGCAGCGTCGCGTCGGCTCGCCGCATTGGGTGCGTGCCACGCCCACGCCCATCTCTGGCTGCGAGATTCAGATAAGCGGCCTGGAGCCGGGCTGGCGTTACGAGTTTCGCTGTTTTGCCGAGAACATTGTCGGCCGCTCGGACGCCAGTGAGCTGTCCGATCCGCTGACTGTGACCCTGCAAAGGAATGCGATTAGTGTGCCGCGATTCATTGAGGAGCTGGTGGACATGGATGCCGTTGAGGACGAGCGCATTGAGTTTCGTGTGCGCATTTTAGGCGAACCCCCGCCGGAGATCAACTGGTTCAAGGATGGCTACGAGATCTTCAGCAGCCGCCGCACCAAGATCGTCAACGAGCAGGACGTTAGTGTGCTAATCATACACCAGGTGGCGCTCACCGACGAGGGCGAGATCAAGTGCTCGGCCACGAATCGCGCTGGCCATGTGGTGACCAAGAGCCGACTGCAGGTGCAGGCGCCACCCAGGATTCGTCTGCCGCGCACCTACGAGGATGGCCTTATTGTCGAGGCGGAGGAGGTGGTCCGTTTGAAGGTGGGTGTGGCCGGACAGCCTCCGCCGGCGATCACCTGGCTGCACGAAGGCGAAGTCATCGTGCCCGGTAATCGCTTCGAGGTGACCAACACGGAGAAGAATTCGCTGCTGAAGATTGACAATGTGCAGCGCTCGGATCGGGGCGAGTATATGGTGCGCGCCTGGAATAAGCTGGGCGAGGATATCACCTCGTTTCTGGTCACTGTCACCGCCAGACCCAATGCACCCGGCGCGCCACGTCTCAACATGTCCTTCGGTAAGTCGGCGACGCTCTCCTGGACAGCGCCATTGGACGACGGTGGCTGCAAGATTGGCAACTACATTGTGGAGTACTTTCGCATTGGCTGGAACGTCTGGCTGAAGGCGGCCACAACGCGCGCCCTGAGCACCACGCTGCACGATCTGATCGAGGGCTCCGAGTACAAGTTCCGCGTCAAGGCCGAGAATCCCTACGGGCTGAGTGAGCCCTCGCAGGAGTCGGAGCTGCTCTTTATACCGGATCCCAAGCGTGGCATCACCAAGCCCAAGTCGGCCACCAAAATTGCTGGAGACGAGCGGAATGGCAACGGAGGGAAGGATACGGATAAGGACAAATCAAAGCCGGTGCCGCCGCGTCGCAAGACGCTGTCGCCACCACGTCCGCATGCGGATGCGGCGACCAGCATGTCGGCCTCGCCCAAGCAGTCACCGCGCGGCGCACGCAAGCCAGCGCCGCAGCTGGTGGACAGCGAGCAGCTGCGTCACGAGATGTCCTACGGCACCTCCGACCAGGCGCTGAAGATGAATGTGCGCAAGAGTCCATCGCTTAGCAGCGCCGACTCAGCTGCAGTCCAGGCGCAAGCCAGCACGCCCGGCTCCAATCCCAAGCTCAATCTGACGCTGATAACCACCACGGCTCTGGCGGATAGGCAGGAGAAGCCGGCCAAGCCGGCCAAATCGCCCACAGCTGCTGCTCCTCGGAAGCTTTTCAATCCCAAGCCCGTCGCCAATCCAAAAGACAAGTCGCAACAGAAGCCGCAGAAGCCACAGCCGCTGCCGCAGCCACCGCTGGCACCATTGGAGTCGCTGCAGGATGTGGCTCAGCGCCTGCCCGCGCCGCTACGCAAGAGCCCGACGCCGCCGGAGCCCATAAAGTCGACGCCCGCGCTGCAGCGCAGCGCCGAGCCCGTCCAGCTGGGCGTCAATCAGAATGTGAGACGTTACTCCGGGCACGCCCTGAGTCCGGCCAAGCATGTGCCCGCCCTGGCCATTGCCATTGCCACGACTGCCAATATGGGCGAAAAGCTGCCCAAGATTGAGATCAGTGCGCCGCCGCCTCCCTCTGCGCTAGAGCCCGCCACGCCCACTTCGGAGCCAACACCGCCAGTGGCCAAGATGCGTCCACAGAAGCCAGCAGACAGACACGACGAGGTCCACACGAGCAACGAGTTCATGCTGGTGGTCTTCGACAAGAACAGCAAGGTCAAGGATAAAGACAGTAAGTGAAAAGGACCCCAATCCCAAAACTCTAATTGACAATTTCTCTTTGTCCGTCCAGAGCAAGATTCCTTTGAGCTGGAGCTGGAGGACGCCATTCAGCCGCCACCGATATCCATATCCGCGCCGGATTTGGCCTTTCTGGAGTTTACCAATTTGCATACGACCTTCCCGCTGCGCCGCTCGGTCAGCTCCACGGAGCTGCTCTACGAGCGGGCCATGGCCCGCTTCTACGAGGCCGTGGAACTGGAGCAAGCGGCCAAAAGCAAGGCGAAGACTGCCGCACGGGAGCAGGAGCAGGTGGCGCAGCCCGTCAGTGCGCCGACCACGTTCCGCAAGCGTCTGGGCTCCATGACGGAGGCGGAGCGTGCCTCCTTCGAGCGCCGGAGCGAGCTGCGACGCCAATCGGCGGACATGGTGCCCATGGTGCGCAAGTGGGATTCGCGGGAGAACATTAACATTGTTGATCTGAAGAACTTGACACGCGCCAACACGGAGCGGCTGCTCAACCTGCAGGCGAGGGACGGCGACAGTCGGGAGGAGGGTCTAGAGGAGGAGGAGGAGGAGCGCACGGAGAGCACAGCCGAAGATAGCGAGCAAATGGACATGGACATGGATGTAGATGAGGATCAGCAGCAGGGCTACCATCTCGGCTCGGACTACACCGAGAGCACAGCCACCTCCGATCAGGACTCCATTGAGAAGTTCAAAATGGAGCTTTTGGCTCGCACACGCTCCCCCAGTCCGCGCGACTTGGAGACCTATCATCCGCGCAACATGGGCGCCGGCACCTTTACTCCGTATCGTGCTCCGACGCCGGAGCAAGCGGCCGTGGTGCTCAATCGGCCAATGCCGCTGCCCAGTCCGGACTTTGTGCCCAAGCCCATACTGAAGCGTTCGTCCAACGAGCATGTGGAGCAGTCTGCCAGTCAGCCCAGCAGCCCAGATCCGCAACAGGAGTCTGGCAATGGAACCATCACCAGTGCACCCCTCACTGCCGCCCCCGTCCCCGTCGCCGTCGCCCCTGTCGTCGTTCCAAGTACGAGCAATCTGAAACTGGATCTGGCCAGGGGCATCAAGTCATTTTTCAGCCGGGATAAACGCTCTGCCACCGAGAAGAACACCGAGGCCAATGAGGAAATATCAAATCCGCTGGAGAAGATTAATGCGGCTGCCATTGCGGTGGAGCTGGAGACGAAGCGCAAGGCCAAGGAGGAGGAGGAGATGCGTCGCCAAGATGAGGAGCGACTCATGCAGGAGGAGGCGCACGCCGCCGTGGATCACTACAGCGATCTGGTGCGCCAGGTGAGTAGCA